GCTGATAAACTCGTGAGAGTTTATGTTTCACTTCGGTCATACTGTGGCCGATTATGATCTGGCGCACCATTTTCCATTATCTTTTTCGAAGAAGAGGCAGGTTCGCCCGCCGCATCGCAGTTCCCAGCTACTGTAGTGTGGCGACCAAGTATAATCACAGCTGGTAGCTTTTGCAGTTGTCTGATGAAGACAAGCGGGCTGTAATCTTGTGTAATGTTTCCTTACACGTTAGTACAATCGTAATAAGTACAATACTGAAAAATTACACGAGATACGATGATGAATGTTCATAGGGTAATTATGATGCTGATGGAACTCTGAAATGTTCAGGAGAAAGACGAATACATTAATTATTAGACTAAGTGACAAATTTTTCAATTTTGTACTTGTTACAAAGCAAGACATCCAGTTACGGTCAAGGCTCTCAGTTCTGCTCCCGGTACAAGCCCACGAACCCAGCCTCTGTGCGTTGTAAAAGTAAACTCGTATAGTCGAACTTTCTCTGTGCAACATGCACGGACTCCGCTGAATTAAAAGTACGCCTGAGGTGTCACATCTTTCGCTTGCCGAGGTAGGGTACAACGGCGTCGTACAGGTGCGAGCTATGGCAGGACTATGTGCAAAAGTGAGTACGGAGGTGGACAAGTAGTTATCAAATCTGTATGTATTTGTGCTTCTCTTTAAAATTTGTAGATATAGATTTTCTTTGCTCAAACATTTATGACGTATTGAAAAATCTTTGCGAGTCTACCCAGTACCTGCAAGGGGTAGTCATTACCTAAAAGATGGAGTCAAAAATTATCTCAACGAAGTTGATTTTCTAGATTACGGCTGCAAGATAGTCGCCCAAAACAATGGCGGCAGCGAGCCCTAAACCTTTGTATCGCAGTTTCTGGTTGTCCTGCTTGCGCTGATAAAAAGTAAACCTGGGGAGAAGCAACATTGGAGGGCGAGGTCTTATCAGTTTCGACCTTACTAACGTCCAATTCTCAGAGCAAACTTGTACCTTTCATCATAGAAACCTTTTGCATATATAGCAATAAGATTATGCAGCTCTAAAAATTCTGACTTCTGCAAGACAAGTCAAAAGAATAAGTCTTGAGTTTGCATTTCAAAACATCGACAGAAACTAACCTGCGAATCCAGAAACATTTCCCAGTTGCAGGATCTGCATTCCTTGTCTAGCTTGTTGGCGAAGTGAAAAACACAACGCATTTTTTCCGGAATATTAGTCTTGAAATCTACCTCTACCATACTTTTAGTAAAGTGCTTGCTACACTTTTTGGGCATATGTTCAACCTAAAGAGCACAACGCAGGGTCTTAAGTTAATACAAGTGGCATACGGTTCCTTTCACGGCTTACGTGATTAGCGAAAATCTCAGTCATCACAGCCTTCTGTGTAGCAACCATAGAATTTAAAATGCTTTTTGATTCCGCCTCGTTTACCATCTCGTCGCCGTCATCATCGTATAGCTGGAATTGACCTAAAATATAATGATAAGTTTTGGCCAGATCCGAATTGTCATTTCAGCCGAGGCTTACGTTTTAGCCAATGCGCTCCGTTGCCATGCGCTGTTACCTGCAAGAAAAGTTTGACGTCCTCAGTGCATACAAAGCCTGATAATTGCAAGCACAAAACGTAAGAAATCATGGAGAGGTGAGACCTTTCACAAAGACTCACCATCCTTGTCTTTGTCTAGCAGCCCAAATGTAGTGGCATCCTGTTTGCACATGTGTCGAGACAATTTTACCTTAACTGCCTCCGCAAAAGCATCAGTCTTGGGGCTACTAAGCTCCTCGTCCATCATTAACCCGATTTTCCTGCAATCTTGAAATGCTTCTTCTTCCAATTTAAGTAGATAGTTGCCTGCCTCTTTCATGAAAGCGTTAAAGTCGCCCTCGTCAAGTTTCGACTCACTATCTAATGAGTGTTTGCAGCAATACGTCTCTATCCACCGATTGAAGGCCTTGAAATGGAGCGGCTTGGGCTGTTTTGGAATTGTTGTCACCAGGTTTTGCACAGCCAATATGCTCTTGAGCTCTGGAAGTTCTTCTAGTGGTAAGGAAACCCAGATTTAGATTAGTGTTCAATCACCTCTAAGCATGTTGGAGAAAGTACGAATAGGCTGCAGATTGAAGCATCTCAGTGACAAACGCAAGGAGGGCGCCATCAGCTGGAAGGAAAACGTGACCACTTAAAAGCTATGTCTCACTTAAATACGATACCAAAATGCTTCGGCTGTCTCGATGCTGCCGAGCCTTCTCCTCATCGGTCGCTGGCGGTCTTTTCGTTGTTAAAGGAGAACTAACTCAGGTGACAACTATTTATTTATTTCACTTGCTGAGATAATATTCTCAACTGCTTTAATTGTAAGCTCCCTATCGGCACAATTCCATCCGTAGGTTTAGAAGCACAGTTAACGCACGCCTTTTCCTGCAAGGACACTAGTGCCTTCGCTCAGCTTTCAGGTGACGACAACCCGTTGCACGTCAGTGCCGAATTTTCTTCTCGAAATTGGACAGACAAAAAGCCTATTGTACAGGGTTTACTATCCGCCAGCCTCTTTGCTACGATCGTTGGACGCACTATGCCAGGTGCTCTATACGTCAAGCAAACTCTGCGTTGGAGGTCGCCGCTCATGATCGACGAATCAGTGACGGCCCGTGTCCGAGTGCTAAAGGTTCGCAAGCGCTTCGTCAAGTGTGATGCTGTATGCACCAAAACGAGCGACGGCATTGTCGTTGTCGAAGGCCAAGCTATACTAAAGCTGCCGCCTATATCTGTCTAAAGCAAGCACGAAGCTAGAATGCTACTATAATGGACTATGGAATCTCTAAAAACTTTTGTCAAACGTAGTGCTCTTTAACTTTCGTTGCCATTGCTTATCTGACTGTTCTCCTGAAGCAAAAGATTCGAATATAATCGTCATCTATATCTCGCCTTCCTACTTGTCAAGCGACTCCCACCGGACAGTCGTTACCACCTCCGTGATGCCAGGACCTCAGAGTTGACGCGTAGTAGAGCAATGAATTGGAAAGACATTTTACCAGACGCAGGAACAGTGTGCACATATTCTCAGGCATGTTACATTGTCTAACGTCATTATGCCCGGAGCCAGATCTACCGGGAACGCAAGCCGATAAGAGCTGAGCATATATGCCAGTGGGCACCGCGGCAAATAGACCCAGGCTCGTAGATTGCTACGCCTTAGCCTAAAATTCATGGATGTGCTAACTATTTGGTGAGACCGCCTACCTCATATTTAGTAAATAAGCGAGCGGAGACAAATAACAAATGACACACAAGGCCGATGAAGGACGCCTCCGCAAGACGGTTTTTAGATCGCATCAGGCTGCGGCGCAGCACCTTTGCGTCGGGAAATACTTCTTCTTTGCGCCAACATGGTGCACTCCTCGTACGGCTTTTTAACAAGTCCGTAGAGGTGAATTCCATAAACCGATAACGATTGTCCATTTGGGAGCTCCTAAGGATGTCTTACCGCCCAAGAGTAGATTTTTGCAAAGGTGCTAGCGTCTCTGTAAAAATGTGATTCTAGAACATCATAATGTGGCCGCCACGACTGATGTGTCAGATCTGCATATCATCCGCTTTCATATTATCCGTTCCAAACCAGCGGCACAATGAGAACGGAAACGAGCTTTGCACGATCTTAAAGTAGAAGAAATGCAGTATGACTACATTATGGAAACAGAAGTCCTTCGAAGTGTGATTCCAGTAATGAGACGTGAAATCGAGGCATTTACAGTATACATAAAGTACATACGGCAAGCACATCGAAATAACAAACGAGGTGTTGAAGATTTAATTATTCTATCTACAGTGCCTAGCTTCCTATCTCACTTTCTCCGGTCATACGCTTGGTTCAGATCAACATCCGATATATCAAATGATCGATCGTTCCGGTTCTTTGAAGCGCAGCAATACACGGTCGGCGAGTACGTTGAGGAAATGACGAAGCGGGTTGGTTCGTTTGACAGTGTCGTGCTCTGGTCGGGGAACCCGAACAGCGGCATTGATAATTGGAATCAACAAGACTTCTGCAAGACCTGCTGGGTGAAATTGAGAAGTCAAGGGGTTATCGCTGACTTTCTTCGTCACAAAATCAATGATATGCTGGTAACGATCGTTGTTCGGAAGAGTGTATAGGGCATCTGGAATCGTATGACTGAACGTGAAGATATACGACTAAGATATTGTACACCGTTCTCCACAAATTTGGAATGGTTGTGTCGACTGGGGTGTGGATATCGTACATACTACAACTGGAAGGGCGAAAAGGTGTATACAAGCGCACCGACTATATATGTGATAGAGTCAACTGTAAGCTACGAAATACTTTTACCACTCTCTTCCGTCTGGTGATGATGTTTTTGTATACGACGTTTACCACGGTGTTGAAATTGGACAAACGGCTCGGTTGTCAATATCATTCTCGAATCTGGCGAGTTCGGTGCTGTCTATGTCACAAGGTCTGGTGATAACTCATCTTCATTTCTCAGTGAGATGCAGCCCTTAATTTCTAAGCCGCTAGCCAAATACGCGATGGAAAGAGATTTGCTGTAGCAAACCAAGTATCCTATCTGGCTTAGTAATGCCGAGGCTCTTACTGCTGTGGACACGTCGGCACTGGTTCATATACCTGGAAAGGTTGGCTATGACTATAATGTCAGTGGTGTCCAGATTGAACAAGTTTCGGCTCGGATGCCGACTTTCGCGCAGTTTCGTACTCGTGTGTAGTTACCTCTTCACACGAACTTGACGATGTCGAACTTTATAATATCCGGTCAAGTATTGTGCGTTCACGAACGCACAATACCAGAACATCTTGAAGAACTGCGGGCTCATTTCTAAATGTCTCCGATGCTTTTTGGCGCACTGGGAGAATTGGCTAGGTGTAAACCCAGCTTCGTGGATCATTCCGACTAATCTGGAACAGACTTCTGTTCTCAAGGATGCCACTGCATACGCCAAGTTTTACGGCAAGCGTCTCTCAAATCATGAGAAATGGCAATTCGTCGTTTCCAGCGGGATTAACTACGATTTTTATACATGGGACCTGAATTTGACGCAATCAAGCTATCGAATATGTACCACGGCCTCGAGTTGCCCCAGCTCGCTCCCGCGGGATCCAACCAAGTATCGCGCTCCAAAGGTCTGACGTTAAGGACTTGACAGGATACATTTGGCAAATGAATAATTATGATTGTGTCGCACACATGCGGAGATGAGGCAGCTACTCCCCCGTCCTATTGACGCTCGCCGACCCGAACTGGTACCTCCAACAACCTCTGGACTCACAGCATCACAATCGATTAGTCATAATAAGCGAGGAGTACGACCGCTCCCCATTGTAGGCTTCCGTTGTACCAGAAGTGTTCTTAATCGACGAGTTGATAACTTAGGTCTTTCAAAATGAGTATGGAAGGTGCATGCACCTGTGAGTTTTGTGATTAAATTAGCACGGCAAGAAGTTGTGATTACAATCCAAATGAATGTTTCCTTGTATCACTTGGATGCTGTCGTAGAAGTAATCTATGATACTTGTCGATATTCTATGGTGATCTGATGACTTAGCTGTCAAATGCACCACGCATGAAAAGTGTTGAATGTAACAATTCTCAAAAGGTTTTTTTTAAAGGAGTGGTTATTTGCCACTATACCGGTGCAAACTCCACGAAGCCATCCACTTCTTTCCTTTGCAGTGACGATTTCGAACCTTTTGTCGATCTATTAAATGGTGCCCACACAGAGTCGCGTAGCAATTAAGACCTTGAGAACGAATAGGAAGACAGTATAGTGGACGCTCGACATATCGAAGCATGATATATTTAGCTGTAGATAATGCGGCGTCCGACCCTGTGCTTCTTCACAATCTCGGCGTTTACAGCCGCGTAGATATGGCTACACCTTGGGTATGCTCACTGCGCATTTTATTATCACGCAGCATTTTTCGAAGATTGCAGAACTGCAACGAAAGGCATGGCTATCTGTGATTGCTAAAGCTGACAATTAAAGGAGGTAAAGAGCATGGGAAATGCCTGCGAAGTTGAAGTTGAGGGTCGAGTATTGACTGCTGAGCAGGACACGACCAATAACAACAGACCCTAGGATAACCAATTCGACGACACCAAGTCCAACGTTTCAGGGCAGAATAAACGGCCATGATCCTTACAAGCTCAAGCAAGGGCACGGGCTATTTTAGCTGCTTTGTCAGCATCGCATGACCAGGATGTGGATAATATTGGTGACGTTAACTCAGGCGAGACGACTATATGCCACCGTCAAGTCCTCGTTAGTAGTGCCATTGGCAAGGTACATCATGCGCTTCCATGCCCCTAGTGGCAATAAACTCGACTTTGCGACTGATTATGCAGGTTTCAGTCATAGCATGGCATCCTCCACAGAAGAAAACTCTTGGACAGCGAAAGGATTTGTGATGTTGCCACCTTTCAATGCCGTTTCGACGGCAATTTTTTTATCAGTGATGCATATGCCAAAGCATTTCGCGATTTCAATAATGGGCCGATTAAATACACGCACGTAGCTCCTCGATCGAGTTATGCTCCGCGACTAGACTTTTAATCCAATTGATCTCATTTCAAACGATTAGTGCTCATAGTAGTAAACGGGAGATATCAATCAAGTGCGGCCTACAACTCGGTGTATTTCAAAACGTTGCCTCCGTCTTCGTTGCACGGTGAATACTCAAGCGTATCTTCGACCCACAAGAATCATCTCGTATAAGGCACATCGGGTATCACAAATAAACCTACGGAAGACCAATAAATAATTTTCCAGTAAAAGCGTAATGTGATCGGCCCAACATCTACGATGAGGTGACAGTGTACGTCGCCGCCTATATTACAATCGTGTCATTACTTCGACATCGAAGATCAGAGAGCGCGGGATCTTCATATCTCGGCAGCGAGGTAAGCATCAAGAAAAAAGAAATTGCACTTACGGGGTGGAAGTATGTGGTGGCTCTTGTCGCTCTCGCGGACTTCGGTGCCGTCGCCACCATTGAGAAAAAGAAACGTTTTGCCATGGAAACACCGATTCGCTATATGCATTCTTGCTTCCACCTCCTGTGCTTTTTTTACTGTTTCCTCTTTGATCATTGTCCTTAATAATCCCGTCATCATCATGACTTAAACGCACCTCCCCAATCGTAATTTCATCAAAACGGTCCAATGGATCAGACAGAATTATACTTGAATTTTCTGCTTGCTCTTCAATCGCTAAAAGTGCCGAGTATGACGTGAAGACGTCGTCATCTAAATATTTACGAGGATTGCTTTCAACAAGTTTTAGCAATCGAGCGAAGTGTGGATGAACTTCAGCGATGGGAACATGAAGATTGAAGGAAAGCTGTGCGTAGACCGTGAACTCTGCTTTAAGAATATCGCGTGCTGGAATTCCGTGAACCCGATCGATATCTTCCAAAAGCTGCCGTACAACACGTTTGCGCTCGACGGATGTACAAGGTTCGTTAAATTTGACAGCTAATAGGAAGCACACAGCCATGTAAAGTTTGCGATTAACTTTTGTGATGTAATGTTGTAGCACAAGCTTTTCAAACAAAACACAGGCGAGAGCCACAGTTGCAACTTCTAGTCCCAGCCGCTGGCTGCACATAAGTGCCTGACGCTTCAAATGCCGAAGCTTACTCAGCGACAGCGATGGATCCTGGAGCCACCACCCGTGCTTCTCTTGAAATTTCTGATTCAGTTCATCTTTAAGTTCATGAGGCTTCACGAATAGCAAGATGCTCGACACAATTGGGCCAAGGCTCTTGTCACCTCGCACAACATGTCGATGACGACCCTGTCGAAATTCAGGATCGTCTAAGAAGTTCGCAGAGAATGGAACTTGTTCAGGGTGCGCGTCCTCCTGGTCTCGATCTGGATCACAGGCTGACCAAGTGGCGTGCAGCAGACGGAAATATGACGTACCCCGCCAGTCGTAGTACGTTGGTGGTGACCGCTCGAGGGCCAAAATGCTGCTCATGGATGCAATGCGCCTTCTCCTCGCAGCCGTCTCGTTGTCGTTATACTGTTGATACGAACACCCAGCAAATTAGTTTAAACTGCTAATCTTTACATCTCCATTGCTCAAAGTATCTCATATCCATACGTTAATGATTATGGTGGTAGCTAGCGGGTATCCGCAGCCCTGAGAAAAAAAGAGTCGGGAATCGAGCAAGCCTTGCTCAATGGTGACGCCTTCCCATCGTCGCACGACGGCCGAAGCCGCCGGAAATTTGGTGGTAAAGCGGTATCGGAACATTGAAGGTACGCGCACGATAGTGGTCGCCATGCCTGGAAGTCTTCGTCCAGCCAGAGGCTCGCGTTCCAAACCACCTGAACCTTCGCTATCTGAAACCGGTGTTACAGCTTTGGTGCCATTCATGGTCGACATTTCAGTCTTCACTTCTGACGGGGTCAGTGGATCAGCGGCGACACACTCAGAGCGCATAGGAATATTCTGCAAGAAATCCAATGCTGCAATATCGCGCGTTACCTTACGTGAGTGACGATTCCGTTCAACGGGTAAGGTGCTGCCAGACGGTGAAGGTACAAGCAGTGGCGGGCGCGACAGATGCATTTCGTCAAATGCAAACATTTT